CCATCAACGAGCAAGTACGACCCCCTCCCTCCTTTTATTATATAACGTCAGTGGAGCGAGAAATATCAACTATCGAAGTAAATTTTTCTCACCTCAAATACGACCCCCCCCCTCCCTGCAACATGAAATAAAATAGAGTGCTGACCCCACTACAAAAAGACGGCGCGTTTTTCAAAGGTGTGCACTCATCTGCAGGGGCCCACTACTTCCGGGTTTCAAAGGAATGACGCACCAGAATGTGCTGAATTTTCTGCTTGAAGGTCAGTTGTCTTTGTGGAACCGCTACACTTGAAGAGTGATCCTTGCTCGCTTGCCGGCTTCCTTCCACCACACCGGAATTGTCATTCTCCTCCTGACTCTGAAACTGTATGATATTGCCTGAAATAGTCTTCAAGAGTTTCTCATCAGTCCAGAAGATGCCATGACACTAGAAGCAGTATCCGCGATAACCCTACCCTACCGGAGACTTTGCACCGCAGAGCTTCTCCCATTCTCGCAATCTCAAACTGATTCAATAACTTCGGCTTAAAGACTATTAACTAAATTTATCTTTGTGAGCTGGACCCGACTCAATCATTTAATTTTATCACCCCTATTAGAATGTACAATCGAATATTCAAGTCTTTCTTTTTATACGATCCTGAGAATCACAACCTTCTCATGCAGGTCGTTATCCACGGTTGGATTTACCTTTCTGTTCACTAATATTCCGTTTATCACGTGATTAAATGGTTCTCAACTTTAAAGCTGCTTTTCTATGCTGCAGCATTGAACCGATGTATGAGCAACCATCTGGTGATCCACTTAGATCACCCCCCTTCGGATCTGACACATTTGTCACAGATGTGATCGCAATCTAGTACGCTTTGGAATCTAGGAGCACAATGTATTTTCCGTATGTATTTCTGGCAGATAAGTAACACCTATCACAATGTGGTCCTATTCTGATAGGTAAAATGAATAAGAGATCAAGGATCGGATGCGGAGCTGGGCAGCAGTTGGTTTCTGTGCATAAGGCTGCGTTTATACTTTGCGGCAGCGTAGCGCTTCCAGCGTACGCCAGCGGCAGTGTCGGGGAAAGGATAGGTATCGATCTAGCGTTCCCAGCGTCACCAGCGTACGCTGGTGACGCTGGGAACGCTAGATCGATATCTATCCTTTCCCCGACACTGCCGCTGGCGTACGCTGGAAGCGCTACGCTGCCGCAAAGTATAAACGCAGCCTAACACGACGTCAAAGGTAGCAAAGTGAGACGTATTCAGCTCCAGAAAATTTGTAGCACTCAATCAAAAAACCTCAGAAGGAATCTTCGCATATACAATCCACGTCCTCGGATGCCATCCGGGTGTATAAACGTCATCAGGGACGACAAGCACTAAGAAATACCTGAAGAACTGGTGTTTTCGAGTTTAGAATATAATAGCAAGCATTCCTACGAGTTTTTAAATCTCTTGAAAGGCTGAAAAAAAAACGAAAAAAAACCAATCCTCACGTGAGAGCGAATACAACTGGCACGAGGAGCTGAACAAGTAGTGCAGCTCTGGGATCCAAGCCTGCCATCGACTTTTCTGTGAGGAATGCGTATGCAAAAGCACCGATGAGACCTGCCCCACCAGTGCCGGACGACCAAGCGGCTACCGCTACCGAACTACAAATGCGATTAGTCAGGAGATCAAACCAACAACAGCAGGTGTGATGTTTTTCACAGAGCACATTATTGCTGTGAAAATTCAAACAAGAGGAGTTCCTATTTCACTGCTGGCAAGGGAAGAGATCGTGAGCACTAAGAAGAATGAAAGAATGATGAAAAAGAATGAAGAATGACCAAGCGAAGAAAGACAGCGCTAGTAAAGCAATTCTCCAGGGTACCTGAGGACACACTTCCCTGTACTGGCAAACGCTACGCAGGACGCGTTCGCCTTGCTGTCACCCTTGCATAGCGCAATAGAAGCGTGAAATGAGCCATTAACGAATCAAAGGCATAAAGCACGATATTTTGGTACTCGGTCTAAAATGGGTGAAGGGCTGCTATATAGTGGGGAAAATGGAGAAAAAGCGGAATGCAAGGGTCAGAATTCCGCTAAAAGCCTTTGTTCCACACGACTCAGAAAGCAAATCCGAATGAGTTTTCCATTGGTATTCTGCCAGTAACCTGCGGTAGATACGGCTGTATGTATGTACTCAGACATACATACAGCACCGAAGCCGCTACATCAGTCCTTTCGCTTATAGTATACACCGCAAATGAAGCTATAAGAACGTCAGCATCAATCAGACCTTCGTGGGCGGGCGCAGTGGGCGTCCGGATCGTTATGTTGCAGCTTGATAAGCCTCTATAAGGGTACCACTTGTAGTTAGCCACGCTGTACCTGCTCAGGGACACCGGATTCTGTCCTGCTAGGATTAATACTACTTGGGAATTCATAGTAGCTCTGGCCTTTAACTTTACTGGGACTATGCTCCCAATACAGGTTTCAAGACACTGACTACGATATGAGTCATAGTCAGTCAGTGGCTCATAAAGTTTCTGACCGTTGGTTCCATAGCTGTTTTTTATTTCCTTATCATTTGTTATAGGTGAGTATTCAACAGAGGCGTGCAAGAACACGCCTCTGTGCTGTTTTCACGAGGTACTTCGGAACAAAAGCTCGCAAAGTTTTCAACAATTTAATTATCCTAGTGTACTTATGGTATTTTTTTGCAGAAATACTGCACTAACAACAAGGGATGGTTCAGAGCTCTAACCACGGAGCCTGAATTACATTCCGGAGCTAGCAACATTTGACTCCAAAGAGAGCCATATTGTTGCCAAGACCTTGACTGGTTTAGCGACAAGCGGAACTGTGGGTGTTCTTTCGCTCCCTTGTCTGGTCTACCGCACAAAATCCCAAAGAATTTTTATCTATTGCTTAGAACCAACTGCAAGAAGAAGCGCCTTAATCGGAGCGTGTTCGACAGTTTGTGAATGCTGCCTTGATAGAGAAGTAGCTCAGTGCACACACTGTTGACCCCGTCAATTAGGGCCTAGAATAGGTAAGATACAGGTACAAGCATGTTGGGTCAAACCCATGGGGGGGTCGTATTTGAATTAGCATTTATTTGATAGTTTATTTTTTCTTGTGAAAAGGGGAATCTATTGAATTTTTTATATGCATTAATGTCATTTGTACGTGATACTACGTCGCATAGTAAATTGTCTCTCCCCCCCCCCCCCCGCTCGACCACTTTCCTTTTTCGCCGACTATATACTCATCGCTCGTCCGTCGGCGAAGGAGCCGTGGAGCCGGAGGAGGGGGAGTCGTGCCTGGACCCCATTCGAAAGGGGGGGGGTCGTACTCACACCGATATTTTGCACATCCCCATGCTGTACCCTGGCTAGATATGCCTTTCAACAGGCTTACTTTTTGTTCTGAAGCTAAATGATGCTAATTACCGACGACCATTCAGAATTACTCGTAGCGTAACGTTATATAAAGGAAAGTTAGACTACTACAAGTGTATTTCGCGGATAGTATCTGCCCAGTGCAAGATAACTGATCTCTCCAAGGCCGGATCCAAAACTGGTAATGCAGACACCAGCCAATGACATGGCAACATTCTGTGAGAAGGCGACCACGATATAACTTGCCGCCTGCAGGAAACATATGAATACATGACGAAATCTGAAACAAGACACGATTCAAACGTATTTCCATTCTCGGAGCAACAACTGTAATTTTCGAGGATTACTCAGCGAGTTTGGTTCAAGGCCAACCGCAGAACGCGGCTACATACACAAGAATACAGGTAATCACGGATTACAGAAACTGCAGAAGTTCCTAGACCCTTCAGGGTCTCCGATTGTGTTATATCCGTTAACATGCATGTAAATTTTTGGAATGCCCTCAACCTGGCATAGTCCTTCTTCAACCCCTCCTCAACCTCGTCTAAGGAGTGTAGAGGACCTGCCGTAGCCTCTATGGTCGTGGCTATACGCGGAAGGGGTTTTTTATTTTTTTATTTAGGAAGCCTGGACGTATTCTCCACTCTTCCCGGCTTCTGCTGGTTTCCTGAGGATGGCACCAGTTGTCTCTTGAAAATCTTTACTACCCTGGTGTCTTGAGGGGCCTTAACCGGCGGGAGACGAACTTGTTCCCGGTCCTCCAGCTTCTCATACAGGGCGTCCCTTTCCGCATTCTTAGCCTTAGCAAAGGCTGCCTCAGCAACGTTTCCTTCTTCTGCTTCACGATCCTCTGGAGTTCCTCGGCTCCAGAAGACAAGCCGCCCTTGCACTTCTCGATCCTACCATCATCCGTCTCTCCAGGATTCGATCTGCACACTGCAGGATGACCATGCAGCGCTTGGTCGCGTTTCATGGGTGGTCCGTGTTGGGTCTTGAAGAAGAGCCTGAAGATATTCTTCGCCGAGGTATCTTTTACCTTATAGGGCGCTTGTCTCCGACGACCAGTTTCGGGAGGCGATTTCTGACTTAGTGTGGCAACTTTCGAAGTAGAAGCTAAGTTGGTTAGTTGGAATAAGCCGATTGAAGTGTACAATCAGTGCGACACCGGTCGGAGCACAGTATCCCCCTTCGTCGGAACGGGAACATCAGATTACCTGTTTTTTCGTAATAGAGATTAACTTCATGTCAAGCGTACACTTGATATGATTCTGTCGTTAGTTTTAGTGATATCCAGTAGCGAAGTGAATTGTTGCGGAAAGCTCACACAAAAGGAAGACGATGCATGAAGAACGGAAAGGTGAACGTAACGAAGAGCGAGGGTAGATTGTTAGCTAAAAGCACCGCACCAGCTGAGACAGTTGCGCAGTGGCGAGAAGTGATCCGTTCCTGAAATTGAGTCGGTATGTTGGACTTTTGAAAGGCCATTTGGTAGGTAATGACCCTATCCTAGCTATAATATAACGGACGTCTGTCTGTCGTGTCTGTCTGTCTGTCTTCTGTTTTGTCTGTCTGTCCGGAAATTCGGAACTACCTGTAGAGCCAGTCTCAGGGGGCGTCAAGGTTGGGATGGGTAGGGCATGGGCCAAGATGTACGAAACACACGTGAACTAGGCTAAGCCCCGCCCACTGTGGGCGGCGCGTGCGCATAGTTGTGAGCTTCATATTTCAAAAATTCGTAGTTCGGTTCCAAAAAAGCCCCGAGAGCGAAGAAAAGTGGCAAACGATAGGCAATTAGTCCGTGGACGAAATGACCGAAACAAACCATTTTGGGCGGGGCGTTCTACAGATGGGCGGTGCTTGCTTCGAGATTTTCAAAAATTCCCAGTTCGGTTCCAAAAGAGCCCCGAGAGCGGAAAAAGTGGCAAACGATAGGCAATCAGTTCGCGGACGAAATGACTGAAACAAACCCATTCTGTGCAGGGCGTTCTGTAGGTAAGCGGTGCCTGCTACGAAACTTTCAAAAATTCGTAGTTGGGTTCCAAAAAAGCTCGGAGAGTGGGAGAAGTGGCAAACGATAGGCAATCAGTTGGCGGACGGAATTAATGAAGAACACCCGTGATGGGCCGGAGCGTTTCGCGCGAAGTGGGCGTCCCGAATGACTGAAAACCTCAAAACGCATCCGAAAAAAACCCCGAAATGGGGAGTGAGCTGAAACTAAACAGTGGTATGGCAGATGAACGTAGTGAGGGGATAATCGTAGGGAGTATCCCATGGTTGGTACCGTCAGCAATAGTTTGCAGTGCCGCATAGAAAATTTTGATGGCTGTCTACTAGGGGGGGTATATACTAGAAGTGAAACGGTAAAGTGCGGTAATTCTCAAAATAATATTTCTTTCGACCATTCGTCCGACTGGCCCTCCCTCACATGGAAAACTTCTCACAGGGACCCACTTCACACGCGGAAGGAGGATCGGCCGGCGAAGCCGGCGATCGACTGCCCTCTCTACACATGGAAAAACTTCTCACAGGGACCCACTTCACACGCGGAAGGAGGATCGGCCGGCGAAGCCGGCCGATCCGACTGGCCCTCCCTCACATGGAAAACTTCTCACAGGGACCCACTTCACACGCGGAAGGAGGATCGGCCGGCGAAGCCGGCCGATCCGACTGGCCCTCCCTCACATGGAAAACTTCTTTTTTATTCACTCCACACCGAAGGAGGATCGCCGCGGAAGCGGCCGAATCCGACTGGCCTCCCTCACAATGGAAAACTTCTCACAGGTACCCTCCAACACGGGAAGAGGATCGGCCGGCGAGCCGGCCGATCCGACTGGCCCTCCCTCACATGGAAAACTTCTCACAGGGACCCACTTCACACGCGGAAGGAGGATCGGCCGGCGAAGCCGGCCGATCCGACTGGCCTCCTCCCATGGAAAATTCTTGCACCAGGTAGCGCCCTCCACACGCGGAAGGAGCGATCGGCCGGCGAACCCGCCCGAGTCCGCGCCCTCCTCACATGGAAACTTTCACAGGCTAGCCGCCACTCCACACGCGAAGGAGGATCGGCCTGGCGATGCCGGCGCGAATCCGACTGGGCCCTCCCTCACATGGAAAACTTCTCACAGGGACCCACTTCACACGCGGAAGGAGGATCGGCCGGCGAAGCCGGCCGATCCGACTGGCCCTCCCTCACATGGAAAACTTCTCACAGGGACCCACTTCACACGCGGAAGGAGGATCGGCCGGCGAAGCCGGCCGATCCGACTGGCCCTCCCTCACATGGAAAACTTCTCACAGGTACCCACTTCACACGCGGGGGGGGGAAAGAAGGAGGATCGGCCGGCGAAGCCGGCCGATCCGACTGGCCCTCCCTCACATGGAAAACTTCTCACAGGGACCCACTTCACACGCGGAAGGAGGATCGGCCGGCGAAGCCGGCCGATCCGACTGGCCCTCCCTCACATGGAAAACTTCCAGGTTCACACACCGGAAGGAGGATCGGCCGGCGAAGCCGGCCGATCCGACTGGCCCTCCCTCACATGGAAAACTTCTCACAGGGACCCACTTCACACGCGGAAGGAGGATCGGCCGGCGAAGCCGGCCGATCCGACTGGCCTCCCTCGACAATGAGAAACTTCTCACAGGGACCCACTTCACACGCGGAAGGAGGATCGGCCGGCGAAGCCGGCCGATCCGACTGGCCCTCCCTCACATGGAAAACTTCTCACAGGGACCCACTTCACACGCGGAAGGAGGATCGGCCGGCGAAGCCGGCGAATCGACTAGGCCCTCCCTCACATGGAAAACTTCTCACAGGGACTCCTTCACACGCGGAAGGAGGATCGGCCGGCGAAGCCGGCCGATCCGACTGGCCCTCCCTCACATGGAAAACTTCTCACAGGGACCCACTTCACACGCGGAAGGAGGATCGGCCGGCGAAGCCGGCCGATCCGACTGGCCCTCCCTCACATGGAAAACTTCTCACAGGTACCCACTCCACACCGGAAGGAGGATCGGCCGGCGAAGCCGGCCGATCCGACTGGCCCTCCCTCACATGGAAAACTTCTCACAGGGACCCACTTCACACGCGGAAGGAGGATCGGCCGGCGAAGCCGGCCGATCCGACTGGCCCTCCCTCACATGGAAAACTTCTCACAGGGACCCACTTCACACGCGGAAGGAGGATCGGCCGGCGAAGCCGGCCGATCCGACTGGCCCTCCCTCACATGGAAAACTTCTCACAGGGACACCCACGCGGAAGGAGGATCGGCCGGCGAAGCCGGCCGATCCGACTGGCCCTCCCTCACATGGAAAACTTCTCACAGGTACCCACTCCACACGCGGAAGGAGGATCGGCCGGCGAAGCGGCGATCTCGACTGCCCTCCCTCACATGGAAACTTCTCACAGGTCAGCCATCCACACGGCGGAAATAATGGATCGTGCCCGGCGAAGCGGCCGATCGACTGGCCCTCCCTCACATGGAAACTTCTCACAGTTATAGCACTGCCACAGGCGCGGACGGAGGATCCGGCCGGCGATGCCGCCGATTCCGACTGGCCGTCTCCCTCACATGCGACAACTCTCACAGGTACCACTTCCAAACGCGAAGGAGGATCGGCCGGCGAAGCCGGCCGATCCGACTGGCCCTCCCTCACATGGAAAACTTCTCACAGGTACCACTCCACACGCGGAAGGAGGATCGGCCGGCGAAGCCGGCGTCCGACGGCCCTCCCTGCACATGGAAACTATCTGCACAGTTGTCCACTCCACACCGCGAAGAGGATTCGCCGGCGAAGCCGGCCGATGCCCGACTGGCCTCATGGAAAACTTCTCACAGGGACCCACTTCACACGCGGAAGGAGGATCGGCCGGCGAAGCCGGCCGATCCGACTGGCCCTCCCTCACATGGAAAACTTCTCACAGGGACCCACTTCACACGCGGAAGGAGGATCGGCCGGCGAAGCCGGCCGATCCGCGACTTGGCCCTCCCTCACATGGAAAACTTCTCACAGGGACCCACTTCACACGCGGAAGGAGGATCGGCCGGCGAAGCCGGCCGATCCGACTGGCCCTCCCTCACATGGAAAACTTCTCACAGGGACCCACTTCACACGCGGAAGGAGGATCGGCCGGCGAAGCCGGCCGATCCGACTGGCCCTCCCTCACATGGAAAACTTCTCACAGGTACCCACTCCACACGCGGAAGGAGGATCGGCCGCGAAGCGCGGGCCGATCCGACTGGCCTCCCTCACAGGAAACTTCTCACAGGTACCCACTCCCACGCGAAGGAGGATGGCCGCGAAGCCGGCCGATCCGACTGGCCCTCCCTCACATGGAAAACTTCTCACAGGGACCCACTTCACACGCGGAAGGAGGATCGGCCGGCGAAGCCGGCCGATCCGACTGGCCCTCCCTCACATGGAAAACTTCTCACAGGTACCACTCACACGCGGAAGGAGGATCGGCCGGCTTCGCCGGCCGATCCGACTGGCCCTCCCTCACATGGAAAACTTCTCACAGGGACCCACTTCACACGCGGAAGGAGGATCGGCCGGCGAAGCCGGCCGATCCGACTGGCCCTCCCTCACATGGAAAACTTCTCACAGGTACCCACTCCACACGCGGAAGGAGGATCGGCCGGCGAAGCCGGCCGATCCGACTGGCCCTCCCTCACATGAAAATTCTGCACAGGTTACCCCTCGCCCACGGGAAGGAGATGGCCGGCGAGACGCCGATCCGATGGCACCTCCCTCACATGGAAAACTTCTCACAGGGACCCACTTCACACGCGGAAGGAGGATCGGCCGGCGAAGCCGGCCGATCCGACTGGCCCTCCCTCACATGGAAAACTTCTCACAGGTACCCACTTCACACGCGGAAGGAGGATCGGCCGGGCCCGCCCGCCCCCCCCCCCCCCCCCCCCCCCCCCGGGGGGGGGGGGGGGGGGGGGG